TCTCTCTCTCTCTCTCTCTCTCTCTCTCTCTCTCTCTCTCTCTCTCTCTCTCTCTCTCTCTCTCCTCACAACATCTCGATGCGGGCAGTCCCTCGCCACGCACCTACTCTGAGTTGTCACCCCGCTTGGCCCGAGCATGCCCGTCAGGTTCGCCCGTGCGCCACAGTCCGTCGCGGCCCCACGTCAACCCCGCCCGCCCAGCACCAACTCGTCGGGTTGCCCAACTCTCTACTCACCTGCCAACTCCTGCTCGTTAGCCGATCCTCTCGACCGCGCTAACTCCAAAAAGTCCTAGAGAGATAAATTAATCGTACTTGCGAGATTTATAGAAAGCATGCTTTGCGCGAGATACTTGAGATCATGTTTTGGTGGGAGGAAGAAGGCGGAAGTGCCTACGCCTGCATGACCAGGCCGCGGCATGGGGGACGTAGTCACACTCTACACACCAATCCGGTCATGCAAGCGTTTAGGCCAATAGGACGGAGGAGAGATACGCGCGAGCAAGGGCGTCAGAAAAGATATCAAGAACGAGAGGATTACAGTTGCGATGACGCCCACCAAAATCAAGATTACAGTTACACACGAGATTAAGGCGCAGGAAAGTTAGAACACAGTTCCCGACGCGGGCGAGCTTGCGCAAGCAGGAAGCGCCGCGCAACGGAAATTATGATGCGCCCAAATTTTTATTCTAAGTCCCAATTACAAAAAGAAAAATCCGAATGAAGCAAATTCTGAGAGGCCGCAGGGGCTCGACATTAGTTGAAAATTCAAAAAGATTTCCCCGCGCGACAATCGCGCCAAAATTCTCATTTCCCACAGCAGAACAAAAAATAAGCTATGACAACTGTTTATTCGTCGCGCTTGCTGAGGCACGATCAACTATCAACCGTCGTGGGTCTTGACCAGCCTTCAATCGAATGAGACAAGAAAAAGCAGGGGCATCCATGCAAACCGCCAGGCCATTCCGACTCAGCCAATTCCCTTCCCCCCCCCGATACAGCCTTGCACAGGAATCCGCACGGTTGCAGAAAGCAGTTCGTCACAACACGGCTTCACGAGCCGACATCAGGTAGACAAAAATTTTGAACTTTTCTGTAGAAGAAAAGAAAACTACGGCGCAGTCAGGGTTTGAGTTTGTAATTGCTCTTGAGGCAAAAGGGCCGGTAATGCTGAATGTATATGACCTATGTTTCGGGTCCTGCGGGGGCGCGTGGGGGTGTGTTGTATTCGTGGGATTGCCTGAAGTGCAATTACAAACTGTTTTCGTGACTGCGTCGAAGTTACCCCGTAGAAGAAATATAGGGCCTCGTTGCACTACGCTAGACACATGAAAAATTTCAAGAGTACGTCTAGTGCTGTCAGATTCCTGGATTGGCATCAAGTGCCGTCGTCGCTGCACTTACTCCGAACTCTCGACTCTCGTGAGCATTCTTGACTGTCGGACATAAGATCAAGAAACTGAAAAGACACTGCACGACAGGGCAGCGACGATTTATCCACCAAGATTGGAGGCCAACTCTTGAATTTGCAAACCGCACGAAGGGTCCGGTCGGCCTCGTTTGAAAAAAAGGCGCCTGCAGGCGGGAAATGTGGAAGCTTCAAGAGCTCGTCTGATGGGCTGTTGCTGACACCTCTTCAAGGGCTGGACCAAGAGCACTTTTCCACAGTTAGTGCAGCGATGACTCACTCTCGACGTTTTCGAGAGTGAATCTGGCAGCTCTTGAATGGAAATTCAGGACCCGGCATCAAGAGTTAGTGCAGCGGTGATGAAGTCTTGATTTTTCAAGATTCAAGAGTAGTGCAGCGAGGCCCATAGTGGCGAGTAAGTGCAACCAGGCCTCAAGTTCGACAGGATTCTCATTTTTTTCACTCTCCACATTGTGACGGCCCGAATTGTGACGGATGGCGAGTAGTGCAACTAGGGGCCTCGCTGCACTACTCTTGAATCTTGAGAAATCAAGAGTTCATCACCACTGCACTAACTCTTGATGCCGCGTCTTGAATTTCCATTCAAGAGCTGTCAGATTCACTCTCGAAAACATCGAGAGTGAGTCATCGCTGCACTAACTGTGGAAAAGTGCTCTTGATCCGGCGCTTCAAGAGGTGTCAGAAACAGCCCTTCAGACGAGCTCTTGAAGCTTCCACAGTTCACGCCTGCAGGGGCATTTTTTTCAAAGGAGGCCTTCGTGCGGTTTGTCAAATTCGAGAGTTGGCTTCCAGTCTCGGTGGACAAATCGTCGCTGCCCTGTAGTGTAGTGTCTTTTCAGTTTTGCCCGACAGTCAAGAATGCTCACGCGAGGCGAGAGTCCGGAGTAAGCACTTGATGCCAATCCAGGAGTCTGACAGCGCTAGACTTAGGGGCTCGCCACACAGAAAATGGAGATTCCACACTGAAAAATGGAGATTCCATCTTCGCCACACAGCCTCTCGAGCCAACTCCCACTTTTCATGTTTCTAAAGGTGTCAGTCCGAATGCACTTGAAAAGGCATTTCAAAGTGGCCTGTCCCTCCCCCTGTCACGGCCCGAAACTCAAAAGCCTCAATTGGGTCTTGTGAAAATGGGCCTTCGCGGCCGCCACTCATTGGAAAACTAAAAAAAAAAAAAAAAAAAAAAAAAGGGCCTTCAGTCCTTCGGGACATCCGTTAAAATTGGAACGATACACAGAAGATTAGGATGGAAAAAGAAAAAAAGGGCCTTCACGATGACCATCTCTCAGGGGCGCTACCCTGCCAACAGCCATTTTTGTTGGGGTACAATGACGGAATTCGAAAGGGCGAATAAAAGTCTGTGGGCCTCGTTCCACACCACTAAAAATGTAAGGACCCTCAGGAAAAAAAAACGAACTGCAGAATGTTTCCACATTGTGGGCTTTTAGGGTCCGCCCTCACTTTTTTAGGGCAGCCCAGGCAAAACGAGGCGAAATCTCTAGGGAGCCCCCGGAGGTGACTAGAAATGTGAGGGTGGGGACGTACGTGGCGCGTATTTGACGGATGCTGCCCAGGGTTGTTGTTTTCCCAGCGAATCCGTGGCCGACAGGCCGAAAATCTGACACCCGCCCTCCTCACCTCAGATGTAAGGGCGAGTAAGTGTAGGGTGTTGTGGAACAAAAAAACAAGTTAGTGTAAATTAATCACCCTCGGCCAGTAAGGGCGCCCTTACAAAGTTAGGATTTTCTAGTGGTGTGGAACGAGGCCCTGTGTGGCGAAGGGGGGTTTTCTTTCGAACGGCCGGCCGTTCGATTTTCATCTGACCACTTTCGAGAAATGCCTCGGTTCGAAAGGCTGTGTGGCGAGCCCCTTAGGGCCTCGCTCCACTACTCTCGAAATGTGCAAAACGAGAGGGAATCATGCGCTAGAACATCGGAAGATGCACGGCCATGAATTTTTGTATTTTTGCGCACATGTCGAGAGTAGTGGAGCGACGTCCTTACTCTTGAAATTGAAATTTTTCATGTGTCTAGCGTAGTGCACCGAGGCCCTAGGCCCGTATGCTGGTTTAGGCTTCACGTTTCTGAAAAAAAAAAAACAAAAAAAAAAAGTAAAAAGTGAAAAGAAAAAAGAAACGAAGAATTCCCTAAAGTAACGCGGTTTGAGACAACGCACGTTTTTTATCTCTCGACGCCAGATTCGCCACGTTTTGTAGTCCTTGCCGCCGCTTGCCGCCCCCGCGCTTGCGGACAACGTCAACCTGATTCGCCGCGGTGGTTCGTATAACGTGAACCGTACATAATCTCCTTAGTGGACCAGGTTCACTCAGCGTAGGCTGCATAGTATTCGCCGCGGTAGTTCGTATAACGTGAACCGTACACACTCTCCAGAGTGGACCAGGTTCACTCAGCGTAGGCTGCATATTAGTCTAGGCTGTCACTCCGTGGATACGGCCTGATCCGGCGGCCGTGAGGCTGGCGGGCATGACCCGAAAGCCGTGCTTCCACACAGGTACTTGCGAAATGCAGGAACGCCGAGGGATCGCGCGCTAGAACCTGGCAAGATGCATTCGTCAATATTCAAAATTGGCGAGTACAAAAAAAAAACGAAAAACAAAAAAAGGAGTACATTTTCAACTTAGGGCATACACTCACTTCCTACGTGTATCTGACTGTAATTACGGCCCCCTGTGTGTTAATCTGACAGCAATCACGTCCAAAGGTTAGCAGAGAAAGTCCAAGTGTGGGAAAAAAAAAAGAAGGGAAAAAACATACACACCCAGAGAAAAGAAGAAAAGGAGATAAAAATCCATGCCCTTACGATTTATAGATGATATGAATATGAGAAGCGCGAGCTCCGCTGATGCATTACGCGATTTTTTGAGTGCGGGCTGCGCTACTTCTCATTTGCGCAATTGCCTGCTCGGTCTGCGCTTGGCCTGTCGAGATCGGCGCCGGCAGCAGAACGCCTCCTCGGCGAACGGTGTGGCATATTATCGGCATTCTCAAGGAGAGGAGGAACGCTGGGCATTCTCAAGGAGAGGAGAAAACGACATCGTCTTGGTATATTTTATGCCTAGTGTGCGTTGCTCGACTCTGGCGGTCTCACTTCCGTACGACGATTTGATTCTAGCGTGGGGTTTCCGTACGACGATTTGATTCTAACGGTTTCGGTACGACGATTTGATTCTCGCGGTTTCCGTGCGACGATTTGATTCTCGCGGTTTCCGTACGAGGATTTGATTCTATCGGTTTCCGTACGAGGATTTGATTCTATCGGTTTCCGTACGACGAAGAATCAGGGAGATATTATCGAGATTTTGTACGGAGAGTGCGTGGCCGCGAACCCAACGGTGAGCCCTAATATATTTGATCATAATCTTCTCCATCTCCCTCCTACTGCTTCTCCTCTCCCTTCTCCTCCTCCTGCTCTTTCTCCTCTTCGTCTTCTTCCTCCTCCTCCTCCTCCTGCTTCTCCTCTCTGTCCACTTTTCCTCCTCCTCCTGCTTTGCCCAACCCGAGCCTGACGGTACGTAGTCTTCGTCGTCGTCGTCGTTCCCCTCGGGCTATTGATTCTCTTTCCCTACTCCTCCTCCTTCTCCCCTCCCTCCGATCTTTCTCCCCTCTGTCCTCCTCCTCCTCCTCGTCCTCCTCATGTTCGAGCCTAACGATACGTAAGATAAATCTCGTGATAGTCGTGATGGCCGTTGTCGTCGACCCCCTCCTCCTCGTCCTCCTATTATTGCAACCCCTCTTATTATTGCAACCCCTCCTTTTATTGCAACCCCTCCTATTATTGCAACCCTATTATATTTCAAAAGAGCTCCGAACATGATGTCCCCTGTGCAGCCATTTGTTAAAACCAGCTGTGGGTACGCGGTCCACTGTTTTCTGAACCAGCGAACCCCGGCTGTACATCCTGGTGCTCTATTTACTATTTTGTTCCAATCTAATTTTGATTATCGATTCTGAGGATGATTTGGTGGACAGAAGAGGTGTCACCTTTGCGTACCACGTGGTCTCGTTGTTTCCACAGATACTATCGGACAGTAGCCCGAAGCGTCTCGAACACGTAGCCTCTTGATTTGGATAGGCGGATGACCGCTGTACCCAGCTGGATTCCTTGTGGTGTCCAGACCTAGGTAATTCCGAATTGCAGTATTTTTTTTCCGTACTCATCTGCTTCCAGATTCCAGATGGAGTTTTAACTTTTCTAGCAGGATTCCTTGTGGTCTGTTTTTTAACAGTTTGAGCCTTGAGGGGTGTGCCAATAGATCTACAGTCTTCCCCCGAATACAACGTACGGTCATTATAGCTGAATTTAGACTGAAAGATAGCCCAAATTCAGCTATAATGACCGTACGTTGTATTCGGGGGAAGACTGCAGGCCAGTTCGTACACTTTTGGTGTAACTGGCATGCCGCATGCCGGTGATGAGCAACTGGACCGATCGCTTCCAAGAATCGGTGGGAAATGAGTGCGTGTGTTAGAAAAAAGAAAACCCGAAAGTGGGAACTGCCTTCTTCCCCCGAATGCAACGTACGGTCATTTTATAGCTGTATTTGAGGCGTCTTTCAGTCCAGATACAGCTATAATGACCGTACGTTGTATTCGGGGGAAGAGGGTAGCCCGGGATGTGCAACAGAAAAGCACAACGGCAACGAAAGCCGCATTGGCAAGTCGCGACCGGTCTCGTCCAGTGCCAAGGGGAAGGGTATGATGATGCAGAATTGCGACGGAGGTACTCTCTCGAGGCTATGAAAATGTTAAGTTATATGATTTTGAATTTTTTGAGAGAAAATGAAAGAAAATAGTATTTTATCCTTGTATGACCGAATTTCCGAAAGTATATAGTCTACTAGGTAGGACTGATGCATAATACCTTTTTCCCCTGAATAGAACGCGCGCAGATTTTATCCTTGAGGGGGGAGCTACACTAGCAGAGAGGATTGGATTAAGCGCCTGGATGCAGAAGAGCAAATCGGTCGCGATTTTTTGCGCGGCTCAACAAACACGTCCGGATTCAGGCGTTCGATCCAATCCTCCACAAACACCAAACACGTCCAGGTTCAGGCGTTCAATCCAATCCTCCACAAACACCAAACACGTCCAGGTTCAGGCGTTCAATCCAATCCTCCTTGCTGGGTAGCCCACCCCACCCCCCACCCCGAGGAGACCTCGATCGCTCTCTTAGAGGAATGCACAAAAAAAGATTGGTCCCCGCATGATGAAACTGTAGAAGCGCAAGGTCGTTTTTTTAATATATGAATGGTTAATCAGAGTTATTCATGGTTAATCAGAATTATCCCTCAAATTACAAAAATAGAAAATGTAGCAGCGCAAGGTCGTTTTTTTAATATATGAATGGTTAATCAGAGTTATTAATGGTTAATCAGAATTATCCCTCAAATTACAAAAATTCCAGAAATTCAAAACTATGCACACAATATGAAAAAATCAGAGAAATAAACGCAATAAACCTGCTCTCGAGGGTTCACTTGTCAGAGTGTGAGATACACACTTAGTCTTGCAGATAACACAAATGTATTCGCACGCACAAATGCACATGAAGTACACATTGCACAAATTCCGGCGGGTGATGACCTTGTAGATTTCTGTGGTAACTTATTTTCAAGATTTTCAATGTGCACTGTGCAGGGGGTTTTCTGTGATGAATTCCCCCCCCCTCCCCGCCCCCCCCACCACCCCACCCCTTTGCATAACAGTTATTTTCCAGTTACGTCGAGTTCCTTTTCTCCATTCCGTGTATTTTTTTTCCGTGGATTTGAGAGTAATAAACTACGATTAGTCCAGAATGCTTGGCTTTTTTCAAGTTTTTTTTTTTTCTTCCCCCCTCTGATCTTTCTACGCCCCCACCCTTTTCATTCTTCTTTGTTTTGGTTGTCGTGTACACTTTACGCTCTGCCAGTCGTGGTACGGTGATTAGTTTGTTTATACTTCGATTGGACTGTTTTTTGTTTTATCTTTGTCATCTCTGCAGTTGGCTTCGTCGGAGCTCTTTCTCGTCAGTCACCATGGCTTACGGGGATTCGAATCCGTATTTCAATATTAAGGATTGGGGCCTCTCACGTGGAGATGGAAATTTTGGGGGAGGGGAAGACGCTCCTCCTATTGCATCGTACTCTGCCTTGTTTTATTTGCAGGTTGAATGTGACCCTCAGTACGTTCTGTCTATCAGTAAGGAGGACACAAACGGGCCGCTAATGGTAATGGCGAATCAGAACAATCCAAGCCAGACATGGAGGAAGGTCGACTTTGGAACTGTAAGTTTTTTTTTTTTTTTTTTTTTTTGTGAATAGTCTTAAGATAAAAAAAAAATGGAAGAAGAGACAGAATCTAAAAAACGATTCGAGTGTTCCGCGTTTCCCCCCCCCCCCCTTGTGGTGGTGGTTTCCACGATTCAAGCGGTCCGCCTTTTTTTTTTTTTTTTTTTTCCCTCCCGGGTCGTGCTCTCCTGTCAGAACAAGCGCGCGAAGCTTGTCATGGAGGAAGATGGACTTTGGAAACGTGAGTTTAATTAGAAAGAAAATTAAAAAAACGGAAAAATGGAAAAGGAAAAAAGAATCATAAAGGCGTTTTTCTTAAGTCCGTTCCTCTTCACACTGCCCTAGACTAAGTCCTGCGGTCTTCCCCCGATCACGATTCACGACGCACCCTGATTGCGAATGTACATGACCAATCTTTCGGGTCCGATACGGTCGTGATGAGGGTGCGCTATGCGCCGGGGAAGGCGGTAGTGTTAGGGTTGTAGGGTAGTGGCTACTTAATCTACTGTCATCACCCGAATACAACGTACGGTCATTATTGCTGCATCTAGACTCAAAGTTGCCTCAAATACAGCTATAATGACTGTACGTTGTATTCGGGTGAAGACGGGTAGGCTTTAGTCTATTTTTTGTTTTTCGGTGTTTTTTAAGATTAAGCAGAGGCATCCTATCAGATCCCTGCCGGCGGTGATTTTTTTTCAATTTATTTTAGTTTTTTAATTTTTTAAAGGCCATGTAATTTATTCGGCATGTAGTTTTTACGGGCCTATTTTGGTCACAGACTCGCCTGTGCAGACGAGGACAAACTTGCTGAGTGTATCTGGTCAAAAAGTGGCGTGTATACGTTTTTTTTAAAAGAGAGTTACCGACCGTCTATCTCGATGATCTAGGGCTAGGTGGTATCATCATGTCTTTAGGCCCTCGCTCCAATAGTCGACATTCGATGTATCTGGACTCTGGATTGGACCCAGTGGACCAGGCACATTCCGAGTGATCGGACGTTTATAATTTTTAATGTATTCGGGTCATCCGGCAGATCCAGATACATTCAGACCGTTGTGCAGTGAAGAGAAGCCCCTTAGTACTGCTTTTTTTTTTTTTTTTTTTTTTTTTTTCGTAGTACTGCTTTCGCTTTGTTCAAAAGAACGCTAGAGACTGGAAAAAAAAAAAAACAGAATTTAAGAAAGGAAAAGATAATGAAGTTTCGTATTTATTTTGATTTTATGAGATCGTTTGTCGACAAAGATAATGAAGTTTAAATTCGTATTTATTTTGATTTTTATGAGATCGTTTATCGATCGACTGACGTCATGCTTTTTTTTTTCCTGCTTTTTTTCTGCTGTTTTTTTTCTGCTTTTTTTTTTTCCGCTTTCTTTTTTCTGCTTTCTTTTTTCTGCTTTTTTTTAATGTGCTCCGATGGACGACGTATCAGGTATTAGATCCATCAGAACAGGTACTGCACTCGATCTTAGCCAAAAGGCCGAGAAAGGTATTTGACATGCTCTTTTCACTGGTGCATAAGAGCCAATACTTGACCAGATTCATTGACTGATGACGCGGTCACGACCTCATTCATTGTTTTTTTTTTCCTTTTTCCTTTTTGCGTTTTTCTCTTTGTCGATGTCCAGAGTTTTGCGCTTGTGAACGTTGATACGGGTCGCGCGCTACTGATAAACGGCGAAGATGAACCGCTGACAACGTCATCAGCAGATACTCTCAGCGGCAGCAACGGTATCCCGTCCGTGAAGAATCTGCTAAGAGCAGGGGACCACAGGCGAGAGGGCTATACTCCAATCACCACAGTACAAAACAAGTATCTTCACATTTCTCTCGCAGACAGGACTGCGGCGAATGGAGTGAAAGTGGTCGTATCCAAATGGAGATTAGTCCATCACCATCATCAGGTAAATTACCATCGTATGTTTTTGCATCGAGATAGGAATGTCTTTTTTTGTCCTTTTTCTTTCAGCTCTTTGTATGGTTCTCTTTCCGAAAGTGTTTTCATTTCTTTATAACACTCTTTCTCCCTCTCTCCCTCGCTCTCTCTCTCTCTCTCTCTCTCTCTCTCTCTCTCTCTCTCTCTCTCTCTCTCTCTCTCTCTCTCTCTATCTATCTATCTATCTATCTATCTCTATCTATCTATCTCTATCTATCTATCTATCTATCTATCTATCTATCTATCTCTCTGTCTCTCTCTCCCCCTCTCTCTTGCCGTTCATTTGTACGTGTTGTTGTTCTCTGTCACAGCTGTCTCTCTGTCTGTATGTGTCTGTTTGTCTGTCTGTCAGACGAAGAAGGGAGCACAGGAATGCGCTAACGGCGGCAGTTAATTAACTGATCGATTTAGTTAATAAATGAATTTAATTAAATGAATGATTTTTTTCATGTAGTAAATGAATGACTGAGTTGATTGATAATTATCGTCTTTGGATGGTTCTTGCTTCTGCAGTCGTGGAGGATGATCCCTGCTTTTCCGACATTCACACTCCGGCCGAAGTTGGACATTGCCTACGGTCTGTCGACAGAGAAAGATAACACACGTGGCGGTGTGACCATCAACAAGGTTAACAGATCTGGTTTGCGATCAGATGATCCATTCCTCACGTGGTACTTGATACCCGTTACCCCAAAGAGGCTCAGGATGATCCCAACCAAGTTCAAGATTGTTAACAGTGCAAGTGGTTTCGCTCTGAGGCGAGTCGGATCTCGCAAACAGGTGCACATCCTCTCTCTCTCTCTCTCTCTCTCTCTCTCTCTCTCTCTCTCTCTCTCTCTCTCTCTCTCTCTGTGTGTGTGTGTGTGTGTGTGTGTGTGTGTAAAGATACTACATTTATGTATCTATGTATATGTCCATCTCTGTCATACTTGCACACATACTACGGAAAGTGAAGGAATCTGCAAGGAAAAGGCAACATAATGAATCGACGGGACTAGCTTAGTTGGTATACCCATGTACTGTTGAAATACAAGTGAGGCCGGTGAGTTCAATGATGATATGTCAATGCCGTTGCCCTTCTTGAAAAGGAGAAAAGGTGGGGGAAAAAGACAGTTAGTGTGCTTCATGTCGTTCGCGTGACGCTGTTTCGATTTTGGTTCTACTCGTATGGGTGGAAAAGGGCTGTTGTCGTGACAGTTTACCACACACACCAGCTGCATATCCTCTCTCTCTCTTTCAACAGCTTTAAACCGTCTCTCTCTCTCTCTCTCGCTCTCTCTCTCTCTCTCTCTCTCTCTCTCTCTCAGGACTCTGCGTCACTTCAGGAGTATGGGCTCCTAGAGAACGAAGGTGCTGACGATACTCGGCACATGTCACAGAATGGTCGCAAACACCTATGATGCCACAGACTTGCCCGTAGTATTGAGATTACTCGGAAATGAGCTCAAACTGATGGAATACCCATGGAAGATAATCCGCTCGGCAATGCAAGCGTACATCAGAAATTGTAAAGACACGGAAGTTCGGACGAAATTCAAAGAGTATATCGACAATCAACAACCACCAGACGGGTAAAAGAAACGCAACAAATCCCGCCGTCAGACGAAACAACATTTCATAGAACATAATTCCAAAGACTCCGAAAGCAATATGGACCCAGAAACTTTTCGAGATTTTTTCGAAATTTGCAGATATAATGATGCAAGAAGTCCGTGAAAATTCCCGAGACGGGAAAAGCTAAGTACATCCCACGTCTCAACGAGGAATGGACTACTCGCCTGAATTGTGATATGATGTAATCAGCGACCGCGCAAAATACGAGGAGAACAAAAACAAAAACAAAAACAAAACCAAAAACAAAGACGAAGTCGCGTAAGTTAGACATAAAGACATGACGGAATACATAATCCGACAGATAAAAATTGGGACGGACAGTAGTACCACAAAAACACATACCACTACGGACATTATAGGTATCAAGATCTACTACTGTGAGATTCGACGACGACATGGACTTGCTCAGAGCACTACCACGGAGGACTTGGAGGAATGGATGATGAGTACACTGCGGGAATGAGGACAGCAGGGGGGATAACTAGGAAAGTAGGGTATGAATATTGTGGACAGTGGCTGAAATGATCACCTGAGCAGTGAGGTAGAAGGGTGATCGCGACGTTGTCGCATGCCATGGATGAGACGTGTATACTGTGAAAGTAAAGCCTCGCACGTTTTGTCTGATATTTGCATGTGTATCTCTCTCTCTCTCTCTCTCTCTCTCTTCGCCCTATGTTTATGGTGTATATGCATTGCGGATTGAGCAGGATGAGTCCTTGGTATGGTGTGAATGATTGTTGACGTTGCGGGCTCTGATGTCTTCGTGCTCCCTAGCACCAAATCTTTGAGGAAAGAGCTAACTCTCTCTCTCTCTCTCTCTCTCTCTCTCTCTCTCTCTCTCTCTCTCTCTCTCTCTCTCTCTCTCTCTCTTTCTCTCTCTCTCTCTCTCTGTGGCTGTGGTTATGGTGTAAAATTGGTGGTGATTGTGCAGATTGAGCAGGTAGACCCATCTACAGCAGGTGAGGACGCTGTGTGGACCATCGGTGAGGACGCTGGCGGTTGTTTCTTCCCTCTCCATCCCGCGACCGCTAATGCAGAGAGTGCTGACGTCAACGGGAGTACTGCTCATGCAGCTTGCATAGTCCGCACTGTCGAGTATGGCCGCGGCGACGATCAGATATGGGGATTTTTCCCAATTCATTCCGATACGCCTGTGAATCCGCGTAGAAGTTAAAGGTGCTTAACTAACTGGAATTGACTCAGAACTTGAAGGGAATTTGAGTTTCTCGGAAGATGCATCGAACCAGCGCGCGGATGTTTTGTCAACAGAGTCAACATAGTCAACGATGATATTTATAGTTGCGGCGTGTGTTCGCGTACTAGTTTTGACGATTCCATCTGAGAGGATAGGGAGGGGGAGGGTGATGGAAATTAATATTCGTGCCGATGAAGAGGACACGTGCAGTTCTGACGCTTTTTTTTACCACTTGAAGCCATGTTACTGGTGACCCATCTCTCTCTCTCTCTCTCTCTCTCTCTCTCGCTCTCGCTCTCTGCGTGTGTGTGTGTGTGTGTGATCCCATTAGTCTTGAGTACTTAGGAAGGTAGGCATACTTTCTCCGAGATGAAATGCAGGGGCAAAAAAAAAAAAAAAGAAGCTGCGGAGTAGTGTGCATCGCAGGGCGACAAGCAGAAAAGCATGACAGATTTTTTTTTGGATTATCATTGCGAGTCTCTTTTCTTTTCTTATGTCTTTAAATGTTTTTTTTTCTCTTTTTTTCCTAGTTGCTTCCATGTTTGTTGTGATAGGCGGTGTTTTTGTCCCGTTCTTCAAGGGGTGACAGCGGGGGTGAAAAAAACAGGCTGTCGTGAGTTGGGGATGGATTGACAATCTTGGGCTCGATCACTGTTTAAGTACTGAAACAATTTTGGGCTCGATGGACTTTTTTGGGACCCCTGCTCGTCTATGTTTCTATGTTATTGTGAATGTGAAGGTTGGGATCGGGATCGTGGAGGAGAGGGGAAAGAAGGGGTGTGAGGAAGGAAGTGCGAAAGGTGTTACGAGTTAGAACTTGGAATCCATCATGCAAGTCACACTAGGACTTTTTCGATTCATCTGTTGACGTCATTGCAGTCAGATGCATATCCTCATCCGCCCGTAATTGCAGTGAAATGCATTTAAGATAGTGCTGTTGTGAGTACTGTTAACCCCCTTAGATTGGTTGCAACGAAGGGCTGACGAAGGTAATAGGAATTGCAAGGGAGAGGAGAATAGGTTTGATCAATTGCAAGAGAGAGGAGGATATAGGTTAGAATCCGTTAGATCGATCACAAGAGAAAGGAGAAGAGGTTAATTGTAAGCAAGGCCAGAACGATCTGGTGGAAGTCTTAGAGAAGTCTTAGACCGTGTCTTGCCTCCGGAATCCTTACGGAGTTTGGTGTCTTTCCCGTGGACATGATCATCTTCACCATTGTCACTGCGATGGATGGGTGTCTCGTACAAGTAGCTAATGTGCATTCCCGCCAAAGTATCGTGCCTTGATCGAAATTCCCACTGCATGTGCGCTTGCAGAGATGCACTGAGAGTGTGGGTGGGTGGGTGTTTTTTTTTGTTTTTTTTTTTTGCGTGTGTGTGTGTGT